TATATATATATATATATATAACCATAAAGTTTTCACTAGGTGCGGAAGCCTAACCTTTTGGACAATTATCTGCATCAAGAAGTGGAACATCTCTTTCTAATCTTACTCTCCCTATCTATTCAAGCTCTTTTGTCCCACCAGTGCTGGCCTTAAGATATTTGCCTTCAGCAACAATCTATCAAATAATAAGAGAATATAAGGTCGTAAGAAACCCTTGAAGCTCATCTGTGAATCCCTCTAAATAATTCTTGAGGCTCTTATCACCTATGTTGAGATCATGCACAACCGACAAGCGAGTTGTGCTTTAGTCTAATCCTGCCATGTGGCAGTTTGGCGTAAGATTTTATTTGCTCCCACGTTGCCCTTTTCTCCTCTTCCCAGCCCACGTTGGTGGGTAGAGGAAAATAAATACAGCAACTTATATATTGCATAAAAACCAACAAACTTGTATATTGCATAAAAAATAGAGCAAGTTCTTCATGTTGTGTCACTAAAAGTGCCAATATGGGCCCACACCAGACTTGACTTATGCATTGTACTTTTTTTGTAAATTTTTTACAAATTCATTTCAATCTTTTTTACAATTATGTATATATTGACAAGATTTATTATTTGTTGGAAAAAAATGTCAATAATTTTATTTGAAGTACATTTAAATAGAAAATGGCTAGATTGTTAGGTTTTAAAAATTGAAACTTGAAAAGCAAAATTAATATTTTATTTATAAAAAAAAATAAATTTTAATATATATTATTAGAGAAAAGAAATAGACTTGAATTTAAGATATAAATATAATAATATTATGTATTATTTTATTCTTAAATAAATATAATTTAATAAATGGGCTTCAGGCCATCACAGCCCACCCAAATATATGCGTTGTGCCATGTTGGGTCTTACTTAATAAGCCCGTGCTCAGCCTGGCCCGGTTCATTTGATACCTCTAGTATAAGGGCAGCAACTCTTGTGATGTCAAGCAAATGTCTTCCTCTGACAGCATGTAATTCAAGTGATATTTAAAAAATTTCAAAAATAAGCAAATGAAGAGGTGCATTTAGATTTTTGTTCTCTTTCGTTTTGAGATTAAATAAACAGTCATCATCTTTCCAAGGAAGCTGATTTTCAAGTAGCAACAAGTTATTTCTAACTGTCGATAACATCCATGGTGTTCACTGCCCACTTTGTTGGTCTCAACTATAAAATGCACAAAAGAGTCCTAACTTTCGTTTAATTGATAGTCATAAGTGGGAGAACATTGGGAAATTGCTTCAAAGTTGTTTGATTGATTGGGGTTACGGGAAGGTACTCAAAATTACTGCGAATAATGTGGCTGCCAATACTAAGGTAATTGAGTATGTGAGGAAGAAAGTAAATTGGTGGAAAGATTCAAATAGTGTGTTAGAATGAGGGTTTGAAGAGATTAGAAAGCTCTATTGTGGCAATTCGTAATGTAGTGAAGTATGTAAGGTGAGGACCTTCTCGATTGAGTAACTTCAAAAAGTGTGTTGAAAAGACAAAATATAGTGCAAACCGGTGGTGATGGATATGCCCATTAGGTGGAACTCTACTTATTTGATGCTTGAAGCAGCATTGAAATTTCGAAAAGGTTTTGATAGGATGGAAGATGAACCCGATTCTTCTAACTTAATGTACTTCAAGGAAAAAGGAGAGGAAGATGAACTAAAGGATGAGCGAAATGAAGAAATGAAAGAAAATGGAAAAGAAAGGGCAAGGCTAAGAGGATGGAGTCACCTAGTGAAGAAGATTGGGACAAGTTGTGACATTTGTGATATTTTTGAAGACCTTCTATGATGCTAACTTGAAAATTTCAACTTCTTTGCATCCAACATCACATACAAGCTTCCATGACTTGATTGTCATAGATTGGGAGATTCGGGACTTATATAGATAAGATGTTACAACTCCTATTAAAGCAAGGGCAACCATGGACACAATTTTAAATGATATGGCATCATCGATGAAGAAGAAATATGATAAATATTAGGGTGAACTTCATAAAGTAAACCCATTTTTTATGATAGAAGTTGTGATTGATCCCCGGTTCAAGCTTCGCAATTTGAAGCACATCTTTGAGGAAATATTTGTAGATGATGAAGACCTGTATATTTAAAATATATATTTTGGGGATGAAATATTTTACTATTATTTAGTTTATAAAATAGATTTATTTTTTTAGAAGTATGCACTCTAGTTAAAGTTGACTTTGCACTCTAGTTAAAGTTAACTTGGAAAGCTAGAGTCTTTTATTTCTAAAGTGATTTACATATTTATTAAGGTGCTTGTAAGCACAATAGCAACCTACAAGTGTCAAAATGATTAGATAAATGCAAAAGATATTTAAGCTTAAGGTGGATTTCCTTAGCAACAGGTGTTTGATTGATATTATGTCTCACCCAATCAATAGCATGAGGTGCGATTCAAGTGTTTGTAGGTGACACCATTATTTTCCCCTCATTATCCTTATATCTTATCTTTAAAGTACTTGAAAATATTGGTGTTTGACTTCTATGGTATTACTATAGAAATTAGTTGAGGGATTATCTTGCCATTTCTTCAAGGGATTCCATCATCGAGGTGAGTGGTTTATGTAATGTGTTAAAAAATTCTTATTT